CATCTTAAAAAGGTTGAATTAGTTTCATCTAATCAATGTTGATGTCTTAACATTACTTCAGTTTTATACCCCATCCAAAATCCTTAAAGCAGTCTTCTTTAAATAGTGTAATAAATTCAGTCTAAATTTTGAATGTATCATCAGAATTTGTAATAATTAATTAAAGGTTTTAGTTTTTAATTCTATCTAATGCATCTTATTCTATGACTCTTTCTGTATTCAGCATATGGTATGGAGTATCCTTTGTTTCATGAGCTCATACTTGAATTGATGCCCTTTGGCAAAATAATTTCTCTTTGCTATTAAGAGGGAGTTAACTTCCCTTCACAGTTATTGAAACCTATTAAAAATAAATAAATAAATGAATGCCAACTAAAAATTGAGTTGCATGTTTTTCAGACATGCCATCCATCATTTGAATTTTTTTGAGCTGTTGATTTATTGTTGCATGTTCACTAAAAATAATTGTTATGCTTTATTTTTCTTTAAATAAAGAAACTCTGCAGTGCATTTATTGGATTTTTTGAAAATTATTTTATTTCAATAATCCTTAAGCTGCGATGCTCTAGATTCTAAGGTACCATTTAAATTGCCAATATTTGTTTCAGATTCTTAAAACTACATTCTGCTAGGGACATTTTTTTCATTTTGTTTGAAGTAGTTTTGATTTTTGATTTCAGTTAACTTTATGTTTAAAATCTTTACTCTATGTCTTTTATTTTATTATCATTATTTCATTTTCTGAGAATCTAGTGTATTTAACAAGCTGAATAAATTTATTCTAAACATTTGAAAAATTTAATTATAGATACAGTCATTCTTTATATAAAAAGGTTTTTTAATTTAGTTAACTTTTAAAGTCTGATTTTAACATTAATTTCATAATTAAGTAAACTTCCTTGGCCTGAGATTTTATGGTATATAATTTCAAAAGAAATATATTTGGGGGCCTTAAACATGAATTCAAGAGATCATACTTATAGTAGTATTTACAAAATATGAGTATTAAATGCAATATTTGTTTCAGTTGTACATCTATCTAAGTATTAGGTGTTTCTCAAGTATCAATTGCATTATTATGACATCTAAAATTCACCGTTCTGCATTTTGATATTTCTGAGATGTACCTATATGTATTTAAGTAAAAAAAGGAAAAGCTTTGAAAGAAAACTCTTCGCAGTGTTTTTGTTTTATTTATTTATTTTATTTTCTGGGGTTCATGTTCTGACAAAACAAAGTATGTCCATAAGAGACAAATAAATGATACAGGCCTCAAGCAGCAGCAATCCATAGTGAGATAAGCTATGTAGATGAAATAAATGCACAATTATGACTTAAATAATAAATTTTATCTTTATTAAAAAAATGCACAAGTCTCTGTATAACATTAATTTATGATAAAGTAAATATTATTGGAAGAAGAAAAAATTCCTTCTTTTCTTATGCGATTTTAAATAGCTCATTGGGATCTGAGATTATGGAGATTAAAGTTTTGTTGATTTTAGATCATAAAGGAAAAATTGTTTAACTTTAACTTTCAACTAGAATAAATAAAAACAAGCTTATAAAAGCAATTATTTTATTTTTGACTTTTTTCGTGTTAAATGTACTATAAATTTCATGCAGAAAATAACGATAAAAGCATATAAAAATTGTTTTTACATCTTTCAAATGTTTGTTTACAGTAGTTAGTTTTCAGAATCTAGTACATTGTAGTCTGAGTTCCTTCCTCTCACTTCCAAAAAATTTACTGAATCTTTACTTTCTGATCAGTTACACAGTTTTTTTGTTCTCAATTCATTTTTTCCCTGTTATTTGTTGGGAAATTCTGAGTTTGTGTAGACCTTGTCATTTTGATGCCATTGAAAAGTGCTATTGAGTTCCAATCTTAATAAAAGTTAAAATTTCCATCACTTTTCCATTAATGGGGCAGCAGTCATTGATAAACATATATCTTGGTGTAGAATGTAATTTGAACAGTGCTAATGATATTTTGAAGATGCACTGCTGTTGAGAAAAACATACTTTTGTGAAATGAATAATTGTATCAATTCAATTTTGGATTTCCAGTCCTTGCTTTCTTAGCATTATCGATGGATGTAACACCATTTTGAAATTTTGTTAGCACTCGAACATAATCTCATCTCGTGATTATTTGAACAAAGTCTTTCACCATACATAATTTAAGAATATGCTGTTAAATTCTTTCAGAAACATTAAGTTCTTTACAAGTTTGTTGTAAATTCTTTACACATTAAATTCCTTATGAAATGTCATTAAATTCTTTAAAATTATAAAATCCATCGCAGTTCCTTCAGAATTTCACACGAATAATGCGTCTAGATTAAAACATGATGAGTCATAATATGTGGTGAATTCAGAGCAAAGTTTGCTGTAATTGGCCCTTTTGCACTCATTTTTATTGCTGCTTAACAGGAAAAAACAAAAATCTAATTATCACTATCTTGTATAAATAAACAGCATAGGATTTATCTTCAGTTATGGATCAAGTTTAGCAACTTCTTGTAAAATATTTATTTGGCTATAGTTATAAAAAAAAAAAAAAAAAAAAAAGGGGGTAATCAATAAAATTAGTAGCTTGCTTCAGTTCTGAATGAGAAACATTTCTACCAGTAAAATCAAAAAGAGATCCACATTCTTATTTTGGCAACTGAAAAAAATCAATGTATTTTAGGCAGTGGACTATTTTTAGTCTTTTGCTGTATAAGATGTTATGTACAATGTGTATCTTTAATTTCTGGAGTGCTAAACTAGTAAGTCTATCGTAACTGCTTAGTTAAAATTGTTTTAGATGTTCATTTATTTATTTACTTTTGGGAACTTAAATATTAAACTCTTTGAGATATTTAACTGTAATTTTCATATTGGAGTTTTCTGTTTTAGATACTGTAGACTTAATAAATGTTACCCAATTTTTAAACTGATCTTCTAGTTGTTAAAAGCTACCATTTGGCTTTTATTATGTTAAATAAAATTTCCTTTTTCATATTTCTTTCACTAATCTGGATGCATTATTTTATATATTATGTATGTATGAACAACTAATTTACTGCACTGTCTAACAGTTTTTAGTGTATGTTTGTAAATTTTTCCTTATTGAAAAGTTCAAAATAATTTTTATGAGGGCAAAAGTTCTCTCCCCCTAAAAATTGTTAAATAATGATATTGTTGTTTAAAAAAATAAAATTTTAAAAATGTTTTCCTCCTTTAGTATCTGTATATGTGCATGTTCCTAACACTGTGAAAAAAACGATTACACCTAGAACCACCAAATTTTGAATAAACTTAGCCTTCCACTTGGACATGTGCACCTCCAAGCCCAAATTTTAATTTATTTTTATTTATTTCATATTTTATGCTTAATGAAATTTTTATTAACAAACACAGTGATTTAAAAGCAATGTGTTGCCACTTGGCAAAATATTACATATTTATGTTTCAAATTTAATCAGAAAGCTCAGTGAACTTCAAAGAAATTTGTTACTACTCACCAAAGTAGCAATCTATCTTTCAAATTTAATCAGAAAACTCAGCAATTTGAAGGAAATATCTTATCTTAACATTTGATAAAGATCAAAAACAAAGTCCAACATTAAAACTCAGCTTACGTTTAAAAATTTTTTTTGCAGTACTAGTTTCGATAGTTTTTGAACTACCTTCTTCAGGTGCTAAGTGCAAAATGCTGAAAAAGCACTTAGCAGCTCATTTTACACTTAGCAGCTAAAGAAGGTAGTTCAAAAACTATTGAAACTAGTACTGCAAATTTTTTTAAAAAATTTATACTGATTCTTAATGTTGGGCTTTGTTTTTGATTGTTCAGTGTGATATTTAAACTAAAAAAAATGTAAGATTAATTTAATCAAACACAGTGATTTGAAAGAAAATTAATTTTGATAAAATCAAAATTTAATCAAACACAGTGATTCAAAAGAAATGGATTGTCACTTTCTGAAATAAAATATTTTTATCTTCTGCCTGCCAAGCAAAATGTAAGATGTTTTATTTTTCTTTTCAGATTTAATTTGTAGCTTGTTAATTAGCAAAGTAAATGGTTTAAAAGAAATAAAATCAGCTCTTCATCTCTATTATTGTTAATTACTGGCTGGACCTGTGAATTTACACTAGCTAAGGTCACTAAAATAATTATTAGCAATAGAAGTGCTATTTATTAATTTAGTCCTAACTTTTTTGTTGTATAACTTTTGTGGCTAAATCACTTTACAGTTAAAAGAAAATTGTCACTAAATATTAATTAATATGTTACTATGTATTTTTAAAGAAAGAATTTAGCCCCCCCCCAAAAAAAAAAGTATGACAACACTTAACATTCTTTTGGGAATTCTAAAGGTATGCATTTTTTAATATTTTATGATCTTGCTATTAAGTTTTGTATGGTGTAAATGCAAAGAAAGCGATGTTAATAAGTTAAAAAGACCAACAGTTAATAGTAATAAGACTAAGCAAACTGAACATTTGTATGATGAACTGAGAAACACTGAAAACACTGAAAAATTATTTGCAACACTTAACACTGGACTGTGAGTGCAGTATTAAGTGTTGTCATTACTTTTTTACTAAATCTTTATATTTCCAATGCAGAATTCTAAAAATATGTTGTTTTTAAAAATTTTGTCATTTTGCTGTTGAGTTTTATATGGCATAAGTGTGAAGATTTTTAATAATTAACGTAAAAAACCAAAAAGGCTATATTAGCAGGAATGGGTCAAAAGGGCAGATTGGTAAACTGCAAGCTCAGTTGGAGCACAGAAAAATGGGACAAATCCTCTGATGTGACTTTAAAATCTGAATTATTTCAATTTTTTTTTCAATATCCTTTTTGTAATAATTATATTATTAAATTGGAAGCTTTCATTAGAATTTTCATTTTTATAAATTAAGATTTAATTGTATTATAATGTAGAGTCACACTTTAAAATAGCAGTAATATAATGAATCTATTCTCATGTGATATTTTTCAGAGTTCTTATTTTCTCACCACATGGAATTGAAATAGCTAAAGTAAAAATTGATGATGGTAGCTGGAGTGAATTGAAATCCTTTGATCCTCCTCTGTTTGTTGCAAAATGGGAACCTTTGAAGTACATGGAAGGCTTACATAAAATGACACTCTATGCCAAAGTTTGTAACTTTTGTTATGCATCTGTACTTTTGATATCAAAATACTATTATGTTACTTTAAAATTGCTAACCTTACAAAAAGAAAATCTAATTTTGAATTTGTGCTTTATTTTAAAATATTTCTTGTGCCTTTGCCAAACAGCATACTTATGTAAAACTTTTATTTATTTGTACTGATATGATAGGACTTTATTTATTTATTTTTTTATTTTATTTATTTATTTATTTATTTTTTGCAAAATAATGAATGCTTTAACTGAGTATTTTTGTGGAAATTGGATTATTTAGTTGTAGCAATATAATGTTTATTAACTTCTCAAAATGGCATTGTTAAGAAATTCTATTCTTGCTAAAGAAGTTTAAAATGTATGACTATAATTTAATTTTTTTTTTCGGGCAAACACTTGGAGTAAAATTATGTATGGTGGATTTTCCCATTGTAATTTCGCGTAGTCTGCATACATGCTAGCTTTTGGAAAGAGCTGTGGTAAAATTAATTTATGTTGAAAGTTCTTAACGTAGTAAACTGATATTTGTAATATTTACAGTAACGACTTCCCAGCATCTGTTTTTCACTTCTAAGGCACTTATCATCCATGTGATCTACAGTGTATTGCCATTCAAGGAGACATGACATGTGTAAATTAGTTATACGTTTTGACATATTGTCTCTTCTCTGAGTATTGTCATTTGATACAGGATAAGATATGTAATTCATCTTTCAAGTTATAACTCAGGGGTGTTTGTGCTCCGGGGAAACCCCGTAATTCCGGGGATTTTGAACTTCGGATCATCATTCAAAAGGAAAGAGGAATAATAATGAATTATTTATTTTGATCTGGGTAATTTTGTTTGCTTTGAAAGCAGAAAACGCAAGGTCAGTGTGTGTGGTGAAAACTTTTCCTTTCTTTCTCCAAAGGCAGTGATAATGCGGGAAAAGGGGGAAAAAACTTCTTTTTTGTTCTTTCCTTATTGTGAGTTATGACTCATTCTCCCGGTTCTCGGACATTCTCTTCTGGATTCTTTTCGGCAAGTTGGCGCGGCAGAAAAAAAAGGGAAAGACTTTGTTCGACCAGATGTGCGATCACGTGACTCTGGGTTCAAAGGTCTTATCTCTCCTGGCGTGGCGCCAATAAGTAGAGAAGGGGGATTTTTTGCCGTATTAGCTATTTGTCATTGATCGCTTCTCAACTTTTTTTTCTCCGCTGTGTAAAATTTTTGTTTCATTTATTGATGCACGTGTAAATTTTTGATTTCATTTATTGAAATATTTTTTTATTTATGTATGCAAGAGAATTTCACTATGAAATTTCTCGATATAAATAGTGATATTATACAATTATAAGAATGTGTCCGGAATGCATTTAGGTGGAATTGGATTGAATGGAGAGATGGTAATGGGGATACCATCGGCACATGGTGCAAGAAAATAAATGTTGCTGGACAAGCATATTGTGTTTTTTGTAACTCACTGCTGAAGTATGGTGGGAAAGGATTCAAGGCTTTCACAAATCATTTTAAAACTGTGACACACATAAAATATTCAAAGTGCATTAGACATTCAATGACTTTAAGTAATTATGCTAATTCAAAAAATACTGATGACTTACTGGAGACTGATGCTCGGCCATTGGATATAGTGACAAGAAAAGCACACCAAGAAGTATTAATAACTTCGTTTATCGCCGAGAATTCTCTTTCTTTCAATGTAGCTCCCAATTTAATTGAACTCTGTAAACAGTTGAGCCGCGATCAGACGGCACTAAACTCATTGGAAATGTCCAGGACTGCTGCATGTTATAAGATGAAATATGGGCTTGCAAAAACTATTAAGGAAAATATCATTAAAACTTAAAGGAGACTGCATTTTTCTCTAAATTGGATGAAAGTACTAGCAATGTCAAGAAAGTATACTGGCAATATTGGTGCAGTTTTATGACAAACAATCAAAAATGAAGTTGTAGTTCATCATTTTGCATCTCTAAAGATGGAATCTTGCAATTCAGAAGCTGTTTTTAAAGCAGTTGTTAATACTATTGAAGATAATAATATTCCATGGGCAAACTTAATTAGTGTATTAATGGACTCGTGTAACACCATGCGTGGGAAAAAAAAGGATGTTGAAACCAGACTACGATCAAACAAAGCACCCCACTTATTAGATATTGATGGTGACACATGTCACACAGCTAATAACTCACACAGCTAATAATTTAGAAATGCAAAAAAAATTGCTTCATGTTTTGATAGATACTTAGAAGATTTGTTTGATGACATCTATTTTGATATGAAAAGCTGCAGTAAAAGAGAAAAATTTTTCAAAATCTGTAAATCCCTTGCCATTAAAAAACTTAAGCCCTTGAAGAGACCTGACCATAGGTGGGTGTATATTTTATGTGTTTTAGAAAGAATCAAAGATCTGTGGGATGCTCTTATTGCATTTTATTTTCACTACTTGGATAAAACTGAAGGGATATTTTTTCTTATGTTGAAACTGTATACAATAAAGAATATTTCTGCAACTCAGAAAAAATTGTTGAAGGGGTGTATTCTTGCTTGCATTCCCCACAACTCACAAAGGATGCTTTAGCTCGGGAAAAAAAAAATACTGAATGGGTTATTTGTTATGAAACAAACTTTATTGCATATGGCATTATATTCAGCAGTATTACAAGAGTTCAACACATATATTAAATTATTTGAAAAAAAAAAAAAAAAAAAAAAAACAATGCTTCATTTAATACATTCTAGTATTTATAAATCGATGGCAAAATTTTTCTCTTTTTTTATGAAGCCAGAAAATATAGAGTATATAGAGTGCACATCTTATAATGATTTATTAAAGGTTGATGTCACAAATCCAGAATTCCATCTACCTAGCAAAGGAATATTTACTGGTGCAGAAGCTTCCACTCTCTCTCCTGAAGAAATTATCAAAAATCATCCAATAGCAAAAACTTCCAAATTTCTCTGATGAAAGCTTATACTACTAATACAGCACAGCATATGAAACAGAAATTACCCCTTAAAAATTCATATCTAATTATTTTACAGCATTAGATCCAGAGCTAAGAGATAAAACCAGTACAATATTAGCTTTTGAAAAATTATCATCTTTTATGTCCCCTATTTTTAGTGATAATGAAAGTCAAAAGTAGAAGCTGAAATAAGGTTATACCAGAGTGATATTGATATCACCAAACATCTGATGAAAGTGGAAATCAAGTCAAGTGTACAATTGATAAATATTGGTCTAAAGTTTTTAATTTAAAAGATGATTTCACAAATGATTATAAGTATCCTACATTGGCTAAATGGTCAAAGCCTGCCTTAGCTGCTTCCATGGCCCATAGTGGAAAGTGCATTCAACTTAATGGATACACTTGTCACTGACTATAGAACCTCTCTTAAGATTGATCCCTAGATGCAGTGCAGACTATTAAATATGATTTAATGGCTTCTAAGAAACCTCATGTGAAAAATATGGCTAAAAAAATCCAATGACTGATCCAATTCACAAAGATCTCTTACTGAATATGAACAGAAGTTGGAAAACATATCAAGAGGACTTAAAAACATGTATTTCAGATGAGTTACCTATAAAAGTCTCTGAAAACCTTCTACATTAGCAGAAAAGCAAAACTGCTTCTACCTCTGCATGTGCAGTTCTCGAGGAAATTTCTTCAACGGTAAATGAGGAAAATAAAAGTCAACCGTCCTGCAATTATGAAGTTCACCACAAAAGAAAGACAAGCCCACAAACATCAGAAAATAAAAAAAAGCAGCAGAAATTAGATAATTTTTTTTTTAAAGAATTAATTCAGGTAATTTAAAATATTTACATAAAATGTAGTAGTTTATATGTTTGAAAATTTATGGTTATTAATTTTGCAAGAAAAGTAATTCATTGAACTTTTATAATTAGGTCATTCAATACTTCATAATTGTAATTTTTCATTTCTCTCATCCCGCCCCCTTCTCGAAACTCCAAAATGTCGGTAGTAAGTCCGTAAAAGTTTCAGGGGATTTTTTGGGGTCCCACAAACACCGCTGATAACTGTAATTGTTAAATAAACTGAATGATTTTATTTTTAATATTACATTTATAATGATATTTAGGAACATTTTCACCATTATTTGTAATTGATAGATGTATACCTTATATACTTCAATTCAGAATAATTAATTGATCTCACTTTGATCACTCTTTGTGAATTGTGAATATGCCATATTCTTATAATTTTTTACTGTAATGATGATATTAAATTTCATTATTTTCAACCATTATTTCATTTTTATTTTTTGAATTTGAATTAATTAAAGTATTGATTTTAAGGATAAAAATGGTAATGAAAAAACTGTCAACCATCATTTTTCACTGGATGGAACAAGATCCAAATTTCCTCTTGGTGCTAGGCTAGTACTTATGGGTCACATATCAGCGGTAATAAAAATTTTTCTTTAAAATTATTTACTATTGCTCAAAAAATCTGATTTATAATCTGATAAATTTTAATTGTATTTTCTCTTCTGTAGGGGCAGGCCATATTCGGTGTCACTTTATTATTGACACTTTTACCCTTATGTGTTCTTAGGATCTGTTTGTGTTTTGGAAAAGGTACAATTCAAAGTAGTTATAAAAAGTGTAGTTTTCACCTAATATGCTTAATTAGTGAAAAATATTTGTGGACATTGCAGTAATTTTAATAGTTGAAAATTTTCTTTTGATATTATTATTAGTAGTATTTAATTTTACAATATTTGGAATATACCAAGTGCTTAGCATTTTCTGTTATCACAGTACCAGAGATGAGAGTGAGAAATTAAAGTTTCATAGAACTGAGATCAGAGCTTGAAGTGGTTAAAATCTTATTATCTGTTAAACACCAGGATAGCAGAAACTAGTTTCTATCATCTAAAGAAGCGGTTCTTAATCTTTTGACTAATGCTTACCATCTAAACAAAAACTGAAAAACTTTACTACCACCACAACATTTCATAATGATTATTTTTCATTTTCACAATAGAAATATTAAAAAAAGTATATTTTGCCATTTGCACAGCCTATTGGCTATCTGTATTAAATATGCACAGATAAAACAATATTAGATTAAAAATTAGTTACCATCAAAATTTAAGTTATCGTACTTTGATTCTAAAATTTAGTGTAAAATTTGGGCCTGTTTAATAGAGATGAAGTTCTTTATGTCTGGTCTTATTTCACTTAGTTTAACCATAAATTAGGATCCACTTTAAATATTGTTCTGTATTTAAATATAACATGCAAGAAAATCCTTCTTCCTACAAATAGCTTGTGCAAGCAGACAATAAATGCAAAATATGCGTTAAAAGTTATGAACTTAAAATGCTTTAAGTTTTTTTTTCCGGTTCAACCAAAAGTTAACAAATGTGTTATTTTTTAAATTTTCAGTTAGAGTTCAATCACAGGAAATTTCTATAACTTGTTAATTTTTTCAAGTACATTAGTCATTTCAAGTACATTTGAACAAAATGAATTTCTAATCCAATTTTCTTTTCCAAAATTCTCAGGAAAATACATGTTGCAATTATTATCACTGAAAAACAAGTATTTTTTAATGTCCGATGCTAATTCTTTTATTTTGAAACTATTTTTGGTTAGAAAACTTTCTAAAAGTGGTGAAAAGCTTAAAATATCATTATCCAATTCTTTGAGTATTGGTTAGAATTTTTTTTTTTTTATTGTTGCATTTATTTTCTTTTCAATGGTAAACAAATTAACACTTTGTGCTTGTAATCCTAAATTTAACTCATTAAACTTTCCAGAAATATCAGCTAAATACGGCAACCATAATTCGCTAAATAAACAATTTTGCAATTCAAATTTTTAATCACAGAGAACAATTTAAATTTCTGATCGAAATTCAAAAAGACAATTTAAAATTTTGCCTCTAGATAACCTACTTACTTTGGAATATAACAAAAGCGTTTCATATTCACTGAACATCTTTTGGCATAAAATTATAAATATTCTTGAATTTAAAACTTGACTTTTAATAAAATTAATCATTTTCGCAGCAAAAATTCAAAATGATTTTCAGGTTTTGGGAGATTGTTTTGGCTACTAAACTTCACGATGAATGGAGCAGTGAGTAAATTTAGTTCAGGTGTGACTTTCTTTATTTGAGTAATAACGGAATGTTTTCCTGTTAAACCCCGAGCTCTGTCGCTGTGTACGGCAATGCACTATCATTATCAGACATAAAATTATCAATTACTTTGGAAATTTCATTTGCAGTTGCTCTGTGTTGAAAAGATTTACAAAATAAATACTCTTCGGAAATTCATTTTTATCTTCTTCGAAACGTATGTAAACTAATAATTAAAAAATGTTTGTTATCAGAGTTCATTTGATAATGGAATATTATCAAGTTCATTAGCCACTTTTTCATTGAATAATGTTAAAGCAATATCTTTAGTTGCTGGTAATATTAGGTTTTCTCCAAGAGTGTAAGCCTGCCCAGTCTTGGCAATTCTTAGGCTTACCAGGTAACTAGCTTCCAAAGCTTTTTCACTTAGAGTAGCAAAACCTTTCATTACTTGTTTACTATTTTTGAACTCCAATAATTTCCTCTTAAAATATTCTTCAAATTTTATCCTTTAAACTGGCCTGCTTAGATTCAAGATGTCTTTTAAGAAATGATAGTTTCATACTTTGATTGGATAATAGTTCACCGCAAACACACATTGAGGTTAAGGGTCCATTTCATCTCTATTCCAAACAAACCTAAATGATAAATAACTTTCATTATATTTTCTATAAACATTTTTTCTTTTCTTTTCAATATTCTTAGTGCTAGTAAGATTGTCCTGAATCTATCAACTGTGAATCATCACTTTACCACCGAGTCAATCATAGCCATTTTTCCATTTTGAAAAATCTAGGTTTGTTTTATTATTTTGTCACAAATATTTAAATGTATAATATATTACAAGTTCTTAAAAAGCAAACGACGATATTCTCAAATTGTGTAGAAAAGTGAAGAATATAAAGCCACAAGAAGGCAAAATACCTGCTGTTAGAGACAGGAAATTGCCGTAAGAAAATGATTCTAATTGAAAACAGAGCAATATGAGCCTGAAAATGGTGGCGGCATAAAAGTGATTTATTATTTTTTCCTATTAAATACAAAATCCATTTCTATTACTGCTTTAAAAAAAATCATTAATGACAAATTTTATGTCTATGGCTAAAAGAATTTTTGTGAAAATAAAAACAGGTTGTTAAGTTCATGAGTGGCTAATAATCTTGAACGCAGCTCAGATCGCATAAATGTACGAGTGTTAGGAAAAAAAACTTAAAGAGGATGTTGAAGTATTTAATTTCTAAGTTTAATAGTTAAAAATACTTTATTTCTTTGCATACCACCTATCTTTCCCTTGAGTACCACCAGTTGAGAATCGCTGATCTAAAGAATTAGTATGTAAAGAGGCAGTAGCTGGCGAAAACTCATGAAATAATTGCAAATTGATCAAAGTACTGCTAAGTAGTTGAAGAAAATGTATTTTAAAATAAAACAAGTTCAACTGCAATGTTGTCAGTTATTTATTCAAAGGTTATGTAGTAGTTAAATGTAAGATTACATATCACCATTCAAGTTCAACCTTAGCTATTCATTGGAGCAGACTAATTTAGTTGCTGTTTCAAAACCTAAAGAATTTCTTCAATTTGCTCTGAATTTAAAAAAAAAAAAAAAAAAAAAAAAAAAAAAAAAAAAAAAAGCTAGTTTATAATCTTTGAAATCCAGCAATATTTGCAGGAAGTGTTATTGTTGTACATAAAGAATTATAACTCTTCATTTGTGTTATTTTAAAATTAAACTACCGTGTAGAAATTTAAATAAATGTTTTTGTAAGACTTTATTGGAGAAATATGTATTAGGAAAAGTATTTGAAGGAAGTAAAAAATATCAAAAAGAATTTTGCTATTGTCATATGAAAGATCTTTTTATGCTTTGGAGTTATTTTAATGGCAGAGACATTTGTGCTGGTCTGTTATCTTGAGTATCTGTGTTCTTCAGATCTTTTTTTACCTGCTTGATTTGATTTCTTTGTGAGAGGAGCTGAATTGTCTTGCAAATAATTATATATTTCTGTACCTTCTTTATTAGAGGTAGTTGTAACTGCTCCTTGTTCCTATTACTGTTAACACCACTGCACTTTTTCGGGTGCTTTTTAAATTCTGTAGATTTTAACCCTACAAGCTTCCTGACTGCTATGATTTTTTTTTAGTAACTTCTTTCTGCACATAGACACCATAATGAAATTGATTGGCTTATCACTTCTTGAATTGGATATAATAGCATTAAAGATTCAACAAATTACATTTAAACTTACAAAATGACTTAATAAATGTGAAGTTATACCTTTGAAAGGTATAAGATGAACTGTGACTGATGGTCAGAGTGGCTCATTAGCTTCAGTAATGCAGTTTATCTGATCGGTGCACACAGCAAAAGCTAATAAGGATTAATTTTTATTTTTGGTTCATTTATTTTATTTAATATTGAAAATTAATTTTAACCGTATATCTTTGTAGGAATATAATGACATAAGTGAAAGAAATTGAATTAATAAATTCTTTTTTCCATTATTAGAATTTCATGCTGATTAAAACCTATGTATTTTTTAAAATGTCAATATAAATAAAATGAAGTATACATAATTTTTTGTGTATTAAAAGAATTCAGCAGCGTTAACTTAAAATAAACTTTAACTTGCGTAAGACATTGTATTACAAACTATTAATAATTAATACAATATTTTAAATGTTTTTATTAATTTGTGCCAGTTGTTGCTATTTTTTGGCTGTTTTAATGGTTATGTTGAGCTTCTACCACTAGTGGTAAAAATTATTTTCAGATGCCAAGAAACCAGCCGTAATTGAGATATGCATTATATGAGGTAGTGAGAGAAATTCGAGTCTTTTTAAAATAAGAATTTTTAACTTGTTGTTGTGTAGTGTAATATAATTTTTATGTTGTTACTGTCAGACAAAAGACTATAATGTATAGTTGCATTTATTGTACTTCTGATTTTTCAACCTTATTATTATTATTATTATTTAATCACCAAAATTTTTGTGTTTTGATAAGTAGAATTATTAAAAATCAGAAATGTAACAAATGAAATTATTCATCATCTGATAAGACATATGTATGATTTCATCATCCTTTGTTCTTTTGTATTGTTTGAGGCTGCATATAGATCATGCGGTTACACTGGAAATATTAATGTTCTTTCTTTTTTTTTTTTTTTTTTTTATGAATGTTGCCTAAATAATAGGAAACTTGCTGTTTATTTCAATACCTTGATTTCTTATTTTAGCCTTTTCATTCACATTTCAAACAACTACATTTTCCATTTATATTTTATGTCTTTTTAGTCTAATTATATATTTTTAATTGTTTACCATTGTTTACACGTGTAAGCTGTTATTCCATTTACTATTATTTATTACAATATTTAGATAGGAGAATATTAATTACAATAAATATTTTCATTTTCTGTTTACTTAGCAAACTTGCATTTATGTTATATACAGCCACAAAGTCCAATATCCAGACTCATCAGGAATTC